CTCGCGAAGTTCAGAGTCTATCTATTAGGAGATAGACCCTTCGTTGTTTACACTGACCATGCGTCATTACGCACGGCAGTGAACAGCCCGCACCTTTCACAACGAATGGCGCGGTGGTTGTCATTCTTTGCAGAATACAACTTTACGGTCGAGTACAAACCAGGACGACTTAATGTCGTCGCTGATGCACTCTCACGTCGTCCCGACTTTGAAACAGTCGCGAAACCCAACAGTGAGACAGTCACTGTTGCGGTTATGACGTCCTCAGTTCCATCTACAACGTTGTATGATGATGTGAGGCGGGCATACGCCCAAGATGGTGAGATAGTGAAGTTGTTGACACATCTCTCCCAACCATCCCGAGAATCGTTGAAACGATTGTCGCCTGCGTATCGATCTGCATCAGATCGATACACTGCTCGCAACGGTTTACTGTATTATACAGCCATTTCTGGTGACACACCACGTGTTGTCATTCCAGATGATACTGATCTGCGTTTGCGGATCATGTTCGAGCATCACGATGCTCCTATAGGAGGACATCGTGGCCGGGAGAAAACATATCTCACGGTAAGTCGAAACTTTTACTGGCCCCGCCAGTATCAGTTTGTGCGAAAGTATGTTCGCGCATGCGAAGTCTGTCAACGAGTGAAGTCAAGTCCTTCACTGCGTGCACCATTACAGCCTCTACCGGTTTCGGCTGAGTGCTGGGAATCCATCTCAATGGATTTTGTCTTCGGGTTACTCAAAGACGCACGCGGGAATACGGGTATTCTCGTATTTGTTGACAGATTCAGCAAAATGGTACACCTTGTGGCTGTACCAGAGACAACCACGGCAAGTGGCTGTGCTTGTGTCTTTATTGACACCATCTTCCGACTTCATGGGTTGCCCCGTGAACTCGTATCAGACAGAGATCCACGATTCACTGCTGATTTCTGGCGTTCCGTGTTCAAATCACTCGGAACGCGCTTGAAGATGTCAACATCTGATCATCCAGAGTCAGATGGTCAGACGGAACGTGCCAATCGTGTCCTTGAAGAGATACTTCGAGGATACGTACACTCCTTTAAGAGTTGGAGTGAGTTCTTGCCAATGATTGAGTTTGCCATCAACAACTCGGTGCATGCGTCCACGACACATACACCGTTTTACGTGAATGGCTTGCGCCATCCGCGTGTACCCACCTTACTAGAGTGTAACTCTGGTTTAAGGGGGGGGGACTCGCGCGAGCAAAAACCGATTTGGTTCACGCTCATCACGCTCTGACGAGGAAGTCATTGCGTTTGATGCCGATATCGATAACATCGATATCGAAGAAGATGATGCCAGTGAGAGTGCGGAAGCCCTCACTGAAGAAAAGGTTGATGTTGCTGCAGTGCGCTCACAGCACACTGAAGCTAACGAGTCATCAGATGAGTTCATACTGGCTCGTGAAACGGTAGTCCGTTTTGTGCAAGACTCCATCGCCGAAGCGATGGATAAGCAAAAGCAAAAACGATGACAAGAATGGAAGGGAAAACACTCTTTTATTTAATAAAGGTGACTTAGTCCTACTGTCTACGTTTAATCTACCAAAGCATGTAGTGACTAACTTGGGTAGCAGTAAACTACTACCCAAGTACATTGGCCCATTTCGTGTATTGCACCGCCTAGGCAATGCATACACGATCGAGTTACCACGTAAGATGCGAACGCATCCCACGTTTTACGTTGGTCGGCTTAAGCCGTACCATCAGTACGCTGCTTCTTCCGATGAAGAACGCCCTTGCGCTCAAGCATCTCGCAGAGAGCCTTGTGCTCCCGATGGTGGGCATTAACAAGGGTCTGAAGAGCAGTTATCTCAGCCCGAGACCGATCAACAATCCCACGAGCTACCCTTAGCTCGTCACGAAGAGATGTCAGAGATCTCTCGTTCTCGAGCTGAGCAAAGGCAAACTCAGCTCGATGCTTCGAGGCAGTGTCCGCCATTTGGAGACGCCTATTCCGCTCATGTTCGAGATCGTCGCGTAACCCTTGCGTTACGCGATCAAAGAAGCTCTCAGGAACACACCGATCCACATGATCGTGTGGAGAGCGTCTTTCCTCCTCCTCCACCTCCATTAGAGGACTCTCGCGGTGGACAGCGCTATCTAGTTGAGCAGCTGTTGAACCACCGCGACGTGAACGGACGTCGGACGAGTTATCTCGTCCGGTGGCGCGGTTATCCCCCTTCCTGGGATACTTGGGAGCCCCGCTCCCAACTGATGATCGACGTACTGGGTCTGGTTGAGCAGTACGACGCGGCACATCCTGTGCCGAAGAAGGACCGCCGGAGAAAGTCTTCCCGGCACGGTCGTAAAGGGGATTTCAGGTTGTCAATCCCTTCGTACATCTCAGTAGAGATACGTACGCGCCACCACGGGCTAGTAAGGATGTAAGCCTCCTTAGGTGCTCGTGCAGAGTTGTTCACACAACATGGGCACGGGTGTCCCCAGGATAGACGGAGTAATCCTTTCTCCCTTGACAGACGATGCAGCTTATAGCGTGCACCTGTTGGGGTTCGCTTTTCAAACTTATCACGAGCTTTGATAAGTTTGTCGTTCCAAGCGTCACGACCTACATCCTCGAGGTTATGGATGTAGGCGTTCCACGCCTGAAGCAGTGAGGGACCATCACGTTTGTGATTCCCACTGTACCATCGATGTTTGAAGAAAGCATCGATGAAGATTTCATTCTCAGCGCGATAGTTTTTCGCACTGGGGTCAAGGTGATGGATCCTTGACGAATCGAACAATCGTGTTCGATAACGATCACTCGTCGTCGCCGACAAGTGATCCATGACGGATTTTGGAGGCATCCATGCCTTCTTCTCAGGAGCGAGACGCAACACATTGCGGTCCCGCTCTTCCTGCGACGTGCCGACAGAAGGACTGGCACCTCGCTGTAAAGTGGTGTCAATAGGAGAACCGACACCACTGTTAGCGCCCGAGTCTCGCGACCTCGAGCGCCTTCGCTTCGGCGATGGTTCATCTGATTCATCAGATGTACCAAAGATGCTACGACGCATAGCATCATCCATGCCACGCTTGGCAGGCGGCTTGGATTCGATCGCCGTCGATACGGATCCGTCTTCCGTATCAGGAGAGTATGAGACACCGAGCTCATACTCTGTGAAGACATGAGTGTCTTCATGACCAGCGCCTGTATCACCAAGTGACACAGGCTGAGTCGCTTCAGCAACCGATGAGACATCAGTTGCTGTGGTTTCTGCTTCGGCGTCCGCACAGAGACGTGCGGACGCGCTCTCGGCGGCCTTGCTCGCGCACCGCATGGGCTTGTTAGCCATGCGATGAACTGTTGGAAAGTGGACTCGGACCAACAAGTGCAAACCCTGTCCCAAATGATTTGGGATGAGTATACATTTAGTCAATCAGTCACTAAAGTGACTGATGGTTAGGGGGGGTGATGTAACGGGGTAAATCGTTACATAACAATTTATAAGAAATTGTTAATAGAATATAACTTTAAGAGTTATATTCTCAGAATATTGTCATAAGGACAAATATTCTGTAGTACTTACGAGTAGTTCCTAATTGGTTGATGTAGGCCTTTATATCAACCAACGAAGACGCGCCACGACGGACGCACGCAATGAGCAGGGTGATAAGGACAAATATTCTGTAGCACTTACGAGTAAATCCTAATTGGTTGATATAGGCCATTATATCAACCAACGAAGACGCGCCACGACAGACGCACGCAATGAGTGGTGAGCAGATAACTGATTTACACATTTGTATTTAGACATAGTTAGATGAAGATAAATAGTGATTTATTGCAGACATTAACTATTATAAATACAGTTCTACTTTTTACTCTAACCGAGTACTCGCTTCTTCTTACCGTCTTCCTCTGCACGTACGAGTGTACGTGAAGTTACGAGGCACCGCCTTATTCTGTCATCAGAATAAGTAGCTTGTACTGTCACCAGTACAAGCTTCAGGGTGCCCCGTTACAATTCTGAGGTGCTGGAAGATGCGTCCGAGCTTCCACAGTACCAGTTTGAGCAGCGCCGCGATAGAGTTGAGGCAAACGTCTTGTGAAAGGGATTTGGAGATGGCAAATTCGCAATAATTTTGGGCAAAGCACTTGCCCGCTACTCCTTTTGATATGGAGGCCAAAGCGTATTTGGACGCAATGATATGGTGCTAGAAGATTGAGGGCAAAATAAACCTGGAGCACGCGTTCAATGCTGAGCTCTTCGATTTGTATTCATTGTGCGACCAAAAAACTGCAAGGGTCATATCGGATTGTTATCGCGATCATGAGTGGCGTAAGCTAGAACTATAACATGTAGAAGCGCAATTATCATTTGCCTGGAGAGTAATTTTACATTTTGAATCGGAACATTTTGAGCTTGTCTTCTATACCGTTCGGTTGATCACCGATGTGCCCCGAAGATCATCTTGGTCTCCGGCCGCAGCCTGTGATATATTAGCCATCGAACAGGTGTCGACGCCGATGCTGCTGCAGTTTTCTTGATTCGCGTGAACCTTCATGAATCGATAGCTTGCTCGATGCTCAGCAGGTCCTCAACGCATGACGTACTGGAGACATCTGCACCTCAAAAACACCAATATCTGACTGTAAAAGCGTAAAATCAGCGCCCTCCGCGGCATCTCGCTGTAATCTACTAGCGTTGCTGAAGAGCTGTATCTCGCAGATAATGGTTGCATTCCTCAATGCGGATGCGAGCAGTAAATACCATTTTCACAACAAGTGTACACGTCGTATGATGCACATGGGAGCTTGAACCGACACTGTGAATAACCCGAATCCAGTCTTGATAATCAGATCACCGCCACTCATGCGTTCACTTCAAGCGTCGCCCTAGCACGCGGCCAACCAATGCCAAATCGCTGACAGTAGCTGTGTTTGTTTGTTTTGCCTCGAGGAAAGTAGTCGACGACAACACATCACCAAGGCAAGCGCTCCTACGCGGCTGCTAGCTTGTCGATTTACACCACGATCTGGACAGAAAACTCCATAGCCTTCTCGACCTGGACCTCAAGAGCCACACCTATCTCGTCAAAGATGGCCTGTTTCCCAGCCGAGAGTTTATCAAAGTGGTACAGCTCTTCTACAGACCATCGAGGCCGAGCGTGACGGGTTCGAGAAGAGATGCAGCTCAACCACGTCATTGTACATGTACTAGGACTCAATCTTGGTGTCGTCTGTGGTATGCTGTAGTAGCTTGGATTGGTATAGAAAGCGTGCACCTGCGTACGTCATGAAGAGTGCAGCCGATCCGCATCATTTTTACATACACCACACCATTTCGGTCAAGCTGAACACGTTCGCATCGAGCGGTTTTGCTTCCATTGCCTGCTTACGAACGTTGCAGCACCAACAATACACCAGTGTTGTAATGCCAAAGAGGCGGTTGGTGTCGTGATTTACCAGACTCATTTTTTGGAAAAACTCTCGGTCATGGTGGGCGAAGTCAAGTGGACGAGTGAGTAGGCAATCACAAGCATACGCATATATTGAAAAGAAGGAGTGTCTAGCCCGGCTCGCTGCAAAAGATGACGGTAGTACACGCACGTCAACACAGTAACTAACAGCAGCCTGTCGATCTAGACTGTAGCCAAGTGTGATCTGATACTCTCACCTACAACGGATCCTTGCTTGATACCTACTTCTCGTCCTTCTGTTCACTTGAAGCAACGATGTTTCATAGATCACTAGTCGTTCCGCTCTCTCGAAAGGTAGAAGATGCCTCTTGTTATCTGTTTGGCAAAATGCACTGGACCCCGATTTCGGCAGACATTAACACCGTCAGTTTGCGGTCGACTTCTAAGCGTATATGACACGCGACATCATATCGAACAGCTCTGCAGTATCAGCGGTGTCCGCATCAAGCTGTAACAGAGGCGAGACCTTGAGCACAAACAGTGGCGCGCGTGGGGCCCCTGGAGTCGAAAGTGGATACAGTGTTGCCGTGGGTTGAACCATTCGAAAAGCTGTTGTTATGCGCAGTACACGCTGGGATACGTAGCGCACACGAGCTCAGCTTTGCCAGAGAAGACAGTGGTCACTGTTCTTATGCAGGGAAACCCCGGGTCGCGAATCGATAACTTACATTCGCACATGAATAAAATGGACCGGATTAGTTTGGTCAGGTCAAAGCAGAAGCAGTGTGATCCTTTCTTTCAGAGCGAATACGGGTATAACATGACGAAGACAGTGTGGATTTACCTCTCAGGCCGTCGAAGCGCTCGAGATAGCACTGCTGCATGAAGCTGATCAGCGAGGCAGTAAAAATGGTGCGCTAAACACACACTTCAGCAGTGGATAGCAGCTCTCTGGTGCAGGAGTAGATGCTTCACATCGATTCAATTCGGTAGGGCGCGTCCAGACGCGAGTTCATCAAACGCGGTCCACACCGAGGTTTAGCGCGATGTTTACGATGAAAACAAGCAGAACCGACGCAAAAGTATGAAATGCAAGGCGTTAACCGAAAAGGAGGCCAGGAGGCACGACAAGACCGAAGCCATCCCCCCAAATCCCTCGAATGCCACCGTAACACCAAAGGTCGAAGCGCATTCTTTTAATCCCTCGAATACCACCGACAATGACGGAAGAAGAGCGCTGCGAGAGCTTGAGGATCTGACCACAGGCATTATGTCAAAGGTCCATTCCGAGAACGTGGCGACCGTAGCGTGTGGATGCACCGTGTATATTAAGCCCTACTTCATGCTCGAACGTGATGGAGATGCGAAGAACAAAAGCCGTCGCGGACAAAACGTAGCGTTCTCTTTGTTGCTCAATGAATGCCTGTAAACGGCTAGACAATCGAGCTATTCACGGTTTGTAAACGCTCATTTCGTCCGCAGCTTGAACCGCGAGATCGCAGCGTCATCGAGATCGACCAACAGATAACTTTTGGACGTCCTACACCGTATTAGATGAGGTCAAGTGGTTTCTGCGCTCCCGCCGCAGCAACAGTACCGACACAACAAGTAGTGCAATCATCACGGCCTACAAGACATGACACACAGATCCACACCTACGTCAAAAGACCTCTCCCACTCCCTAAGTCGACCACCGACTTTTCACAAACACCTTTCATAGAACCTAATAGCCACGTGTACAATCTCTTCTTTTATACCTCAAATTGAAGCACTTCCATGCCATGAACTTGTATTTCAGTGAGTCGACACGGCTGGAATCGCGTCTGCCCTTCATCTTCGAGGCTTTTATAGAGCGACGGGGACGTGGCATTCCAAGGGCGAGGACACTTGAGCTCCTGGCGGTATCCAGTTTCGCGACAATAATGTTCCTCCTTTTCCGTCTCGGAACAGGCCACACAGTCTTCCACCAATGCACACACGAGACCAGATACTGGATCGTACACGCGATGGGCGGCCACAAGCGTCGGATCGCGACGTCGTAGCGGATTTCTCGAGGCGTCGGCTCTTTGAGTCGGAGCGGGTGCAGAAGCCCGGGACGGATCACTCTGTTGACGCAATCGGCGGCTGCTTGGGTCAATGATAACCATATTTGGGTACGTCGTGACGGGCCGGAATGGGCGTTAATAGCGCCGTTTGGCTGAGCACTGTGAGCGTCGTAATTACGTTTATTTTTATTTTCTTATTTTTTATTTTTTGGCTCGGTTAGCTTGTTTTGTGATATTGTGGAAGCGATTGGTGTCGAGATGTTGTATTGTGTTGCGGCAGCTGTTGGTTTTCGGGGGTATTGCAATAAAAATAGGCATATCTATGCAAATTTTTATTGGGAGGCGAGGTAGCAAGTCAAGTGTTTGCAGACTAGATAGGACAAGATTTACATGACACTGGAGAACGGAATCTGCCCGTTTGCCTCTTCGAGTTCAGTAGTAACTACCTAAATCTCGTGACGTACAACGACCATGAATGCAAGAAAATTCACGTAGCTGGGCTTCCGGTGCAGTGACATGAAATTAAAGCCATGCTCGGATGATGTTAGTGTCAACATCGGGAATTTGAGGGCCTCATTGCTGTCAGCGCAGCTATATAACACTGGGGTCCCGCTTTGATCCATCGTGCTGCATCTGAATCGAACTGATTCTCGTTGGCAATCAGAATGAATTCGTGCGTGTATCTAACTTACAGCTACAGGTCATATGAATAAATGGAGCCACTGTCCGCAATGAGAGAGGAGAGAGCGTAGCCGGTGTTGCGACTTCGGCAGCGTCCGCGTGCGTTTCAGCCACAAATGTGTTTTCTCGTACCACATACGTAACCGAAGGTAGAGTGCGACGATTGAGAACGTTTTTAATGTCGAGGATCTCACTGCCTATGATGCAAGGCATGTGCATATCGTCTACGCACGGACATGGCTACTTCAGTAACTTATGACGATCGTGTACGTCCTACGACCGCGGTCATCAATGTGCGTTGATGGAATAGACAATAGATAGCACTGTTGCTGCGGGCTTCCGACTGCAAAGTATCGCCGCTAGGCTGCCAAGATCACTAATTCTCGCGTGGGACCTCAATACGACATTCCCCTTGATTCCTCGTGCATTTAGCATCCGTTAAACTACATCTTACATCGAAGTCGTATTTGCCACGGTGAGTGCGTCTTAACGCAGTTCGAAAGTACATACCCACTCGACTCTTTAACGTCGAGCGCTCAATTTGCCGGCTTGTTAGTAGATCAACTAGTACTATGAGATGTTGGTGCTCCTATCTACAAGTGGACCCTTTCGAGTTGCAGTGAGCCCATAATTTGATGTCACCCTTCAGGTGTCGTATCTCGACGGGACAGTATCGAAACTTCGGCAACGTATGGGCGAGGAACGCTAAATAAAGTTGCAGTGCATCATGTTCAAGAGGCGATCGAATTGCTCGTGGTGGTAAAGCCGTGTCGTATTCCTCTAGTGTCAGCGTCAAGGTAAAGGGCATTGCAACAGTTTGTATCTCGTGCGAGTTATTTGCAGTACAGCTCAGCGAGGTCATCGCGGCATAATAACGCGAGCACTGAAGTCATTTGTTGATCTCTTTTGGTCCAGTTTCTTTCGTTTACATGACTTGCATCGGTACTAGCATCGGGACGCAAAATAGGTCGGCTAATGTGTCGTGAATGCGAGCTGAAAGACATCATCTTACAATCGTTTGTGTCGACATGCGGCTATACTTAGTACAATCAAACATACGTCGGGTCTAGCTTACTGCAAGAGCAGATCATAGAATGATGTAAAACCGTAACAGCACCACGTCTGAGTCGCCAAGTCAGCAACGATTGAAACCGTGTCAGATAATACGTTCGCGAGACGACGCTGTCGTGGTCATACTGATCACAGTTTCACGACGCTCCGAATAGCTCTACAGAAAGACAACGAATGCTTGTAAGCGCCTGGTTCGACAGGCTCCACAAAAGAAATACGGAATACTGTAGCAAACTGATGCATATTGGTATGACCACATGTTTCTGAATGATCAGCTTCACCCAGATATATCAAGGCCAAAACTTCCACGTTGCTGTTGCTGAACCGCCACATCGGCCGATGTCGTGTGCTGTCTCTATAAGAAGTGCTGCTTGCAAGCATTCGAAAACGAAGAAGCTCGCTGCTGTCCCGAGCGATCCCATTTGTCGTGCTAGTGCTGGCCGAACTTGCGTGTCTTGGCTGAAGTAGACTCTTCATTTGCCTCACCTTGTGCGGTTGTCACTTCGCACTTCCCAGGTCGACATCCAACAACTTTTTTGCTGAGGTGTTGCAGTATGAAGGAGATGCGACCTGTGTGCTCGAGCAGCCTTGAGTTGTCTGACTTTCCTTCCCACGAGACCTTTCCACGCACAACGACTAAAGCATCCACCTCATATCAAAAGCTTACACTTGACAAAGTAGAGGTTTTGTGCGTGCTGATCTCAACGTCGCTTTTTATACATACATGCATTCGCTCTGCTTCCCTCAACCAATGTAATCTATTTAAAGCATGAACGATCTAAAATGCATGTAAAAATAGCCGTAGATTACAGTTTTGAGGTCATAGAGCTCATGCAACCTAGCGTGCTACCAAAAGATAGCTACAGTGGAGCTTTAAATGGTTTCAAAAGCTTTATATGATGTCGCGTGTAACAGGGCACCCTATGTTTGGGGTGCCGCTAAACTTCACGTACACTAGTACGTGCAGAGAAAGCTAATCTACTTGAACGACTCTGTCAAGCAAAGGTAAAAAGAGAACTGTATTTGATAAACTTAAGCTATTAATTTAGCTTTATTCTTTATCGAACTATATTAAACTACGTCGTCGTATGACGACAACCTGCTCACCACTCATTGCGCGCGTCTAGCAGCGGTTGGTGGCAATCTATGGTTGATATGTCTTTCATCGACCAATCTTGATGCAGCGCATGAATATTTTCTAAAAGGGGATAATATTCCTTCAATATTACCCATCCCGGATAAAATTGGTAGAATATTATCCATCTCGGATAATACTGGTAGAACATTGTCATGCTAGACAATATTCCTATTGACACCGTTTGGTGTCAATTTCATGTAACGGGTCACCCCGTTACATCACCCTCCCCGCTTAACCATCAATCACCCGTTGATTGAATCAGAATTGATTGGAACAGGGTGACCACCGTTGGATCACTCTGGGAATGGGAGCACTTGTTGGTCAAATTACATTTATTTGCCAATCCAACGCATGGTTTCGGAAACCACGCGAGCTGCTGCTGCAGCAGCAAGAAGGTCGACTGGATGCATGCGTGCGGTTGCGGAAAGTGCCTCTCACACCTCAGCAGCAGGCGATTCGTCGCCTGTGTCGTGAATCCTCCACGTGGTGAGTCACCACGTGCGACAGGTACATACGTTGCGTCTGCAGCGGGCACCTCGAGTCGCAATCAAGACGAGTCTGAGATAGAGCTCATCTATTCTGGCGAGTCGGATGATGCATCCAACTCGAATGCGGCACCTCACGCCTCCGGATTGTCCGAGGCGGACACTGCAAGAGCCAGGTTGACTGGATCTGGTCAACGCGGCAGCATCATGACCGAGATCTTCGGATCGAGTGATTACTCCGATGAGTCTCCGCCTCACGCAAGTCACCCAACGATAAGACGCGTGGAGATGGCGGTGATGCACCTATACATCACCAAGATCAAATGAATTTAAGAAATCGGGGTAGCACTGGTGTCAGTGCTCATGCTGGCACCAATAAAGAGGCCAGGGACCGAAATGTCCTGCGCCACGCTCCCCAAGCGGAGTCTCCGTTGTTACCGCCATCCAGAGAGTTGGACCGGTTGGCCGGCACGACTACCGAACGGGATCGAATCCCGTTGTTCGATTGCAGGAAGATTTGTCCGCCTGATTCCAGCACGGAAACTATCCGTGCTGAGAACGAATTCTTCACCGATGCGTTCTTCGAACATCGGTGGTACAATGGTAGCCGTGTTCGAGACGGCAAAGCCTTGGTGCAGGGATGGAATACCCTCATCCACATCATCGATTGCATTGGCCGTGAGGTCTGGCTTGCCAAACTTGATGCAGCTCTCGTCAGGTTTGAGAAACGCAACCCCGTCGGGGCGCGATACAAGTTGCACCGGCTGTCAAGAGAGGCAGGATTACCCTGTCTCTCGTGGGGTGATTCGCGTCCGAGTTTCCTGGACAACTCGAAATGCTCCCCTAGGAAGGCCTTCCTCCCTAATGATATTTACTGGAGGGCGCGCATCTCTTTCGAGATGGCCGAAGAGATTGACACTTTGCAATCCCTGTACTCGCGTTCGAGGAGGTCATATTCCGACGGTCCTTCTTCAAACACAGCGGGTGTGTCTCGTCGTACTGCTCGACGAAACCAAGGACATCAACAATCAGCTGGGCACGAGGCTCCCAGCTGTCCCACGCCGGTGGATAGCCACGCCAGTGGACGAGGTAGCTCGTCCGAACGCCATTCACATTGCGATTGTTCACAATACGCTCCACTAGGAAGCGTTGACCGCCGCTTGAGTCCACCAATGGATGTGGTGGCGGCGGGGACACCTGATACGGCTCGAAGGTCGGACCAACTTGATGTTCAAGAGCTGAACCGTGTTACGGAACAGTTGCAAGATGACCTGGATCATGAACGGACTCGGCGTTATGGGCTTGAGGATCTTTTAAGTGATAATTATAATTCCCTAACGCACGATCGTTCGGACGATCGTGCCGCTTTGCGTTCGCGCAACTTGAGAAGGAACGTTTGACTCGTTCTCTTCGTAACGAGCTGGCTGTAGCTCGTCGAGACATCGCTCAGCTGCGTGAACAGGTCGCTTCTCTAGTCACCCATACTGGATCGTTGATACGGGACCACTCGAGGGTGGTCTCGGCTCTCGACTGTGGAGGTTTTCTATGCATCTCGAAACGGTCTCGTACTGATAGTACGGGCGGAGACGACCAACGTAAAACGTAGGATGCGTGCGCATCTTATGGGGCAGTTCAATCGTGTACGCGTTGCCCATTCGGCGCAACACACGAAATGGACCGATGTACCTTGGCAGTAATTTACTGCTGCCCACGTTTGTCACTGCGTGCTTCGGTGGATTTACTGTTGACAGTAAAACTAGGTCTCCTATATCAAATGAAAGAACATTTGATCTTCCATGTTTGTCTGCGTTTCACTTCTGCTTGTATATTGCATCTGCAATAGAGACTTGAACGAAGCGGACAACCGCTTCGCGAGTCAGCAGAAATTTCTCTGCTGATTCATCCTTGCCAACAGCAGTGCGCTTCGTGTGCACTGCTGATAGAACGTTGTCTTGACCAGTGAGGGTGTCATCGTCCTCAATTTGGCAGTCATTGGCGATGCTGAATATTCCAGCATCATCGTTGTCATCATCATCATCATCGATATCGATCTCATCTACATCGGCATCCATCACGTCGACACCATTGTCGACGGGTGATGAGCAAGAACCAGATCGGGTTTTGTTCGAGCGAGTCCACCCCCCCTTAAACTAGAGTCACACTTTAAGAAGGCGGGTGAATGAGATAGGCGTAGGCCATTGGCGAAGAATGGTGTTTGCGTTGTCGACGCATGCACCAAGTCGTTGATGGCGAATTCCTCCATCGGCAAGAACTCACTTTAGCTCGTAAACGATTGTACATACTCTCGAAGTATCTCTTCAAGAACGCGGTTCACGCGTTCCGCCTGACCATCTGTTTCTGGATGGTCAGAAGTTGACATCGCCAAACGTGTTCCAAGTGAACGGAACACGGATTGCCAGAACTCCGCCGTGGAACGGGGGTCCCTATCGGACACGAGTTCACGAGGTAATTCGTGAAGTCGGAAGATAGTATCGATGAAGACACGCGCACAGCCCTGGGCTGTGATTGACTCCGGTACAGCAACAAGATATACCATCTTGCTGAACCGATCAACAAACACAAGAATCCCAGTATTCTTGTGAACGTCTTTGGGAAACCCAAAGATGAAGTCCGTCAATACGAGCTGCCAGCACTCTGCAGAAATCGGTAGAGGCTGCAATGGTGCAAGGGATGAAGGACAAGGCTTCGCCCGTTGGCAAACTTCGCAAGCGAGAATGTATTTGCTCACAGACTCATACTGGCGGGGTTTGTAGAAGTCAAGACTCACCGTGAGGTAAGTCTTTTCTTTACCGTGATGCTTACTTGTCGGGGCATCGTGACACTCATACATGATGCGCAATCGCAAATCATTAGGAGCCGGGACGAAGACAAGAGTTGTGTAGCTGTTGACTGCTGTATAGTACAGCAGTCCATCACGAACCGAATACCGTTCGGTTGAAGAGCGGTATTGAGACGACAAGCTATTCAAAGCTTAATTACACGGATTGGATACATCATCCATCAATCGTAGAAGAGACTCATCTTCTGTGCATGCTCTTCGCACGTCGTCTAGTAGATTCGATGATGGAACACCTCACTGTTAGTGTTGCTACAGTGGGATCACCCTTACTGCTGTGTTAAACAGTCGGATTGAAATCGGGCCGACGCGAAAGAGCATCAGCGACGACATTAAGTCGTTCTGGTTAATATTCGACAGAAAAGTTGTGCTCTGCGAAGAAAGACAGCCACATCGCCATTCGTTGTGAGAGGTGTGGACTGTTAACGGCCGTGCTTAATGACGCATCGTCGGTACAAACGATGAAGGGCCTATCTTTAAGAGATATAGCCGAAACTTGGCCAGTGCATATTTCATGGCAAGGAGTTCCTTGTCATTCACCGAATAATTTCTCTCAGTTGCTTGCAGCTGGCGCGATTGATAATAGACGACGCGCTCAACGCCGTCTGAGTCGTACTGCATTAACGCGCAGCCGATCGCAAAATCGCTGTCGTCACAGAACACCTGGAATGGTCTGTTCTGGTCTGCAATCACCAACACAGGCGATTGTGTCAAGATTTTACTCATGCCTTCAAAAGAGTGCTGACACTCAGCACTCTATGACCACCGATTGTATTCCTTTAGCAGACTAGAGAGATGTACAGTCATCTCAGCATAGTTGCGCGAGTATTTGTGCAAATACGCTGCCAAGCCAAGGAACTTTTGAAGTCCCTTGACGTCGACTGGCACAGGCCAGTCGCCAATTGCCTTGATCTTTTCCGGATCAGGGCGTACACCGTTTTTACCCACAATGCAGCCAAGAAGTGGTATATTTCTCGCTGCGAATATACACTTTTTGAGGTTCGCAAACAACTTATTCTCTTAGGTGGAGTATGAACCTCCACGTCCGTCTTTTCATCCATAGCCCGGCTATGGACGAAGATTTCGTCGAAGTAATTCGGTGCGAAATCGCGCACCGATCGCAACAGATTTGGAACACATCTGTAAAACGTTTCAGGGCGTTTCTTAGACCCTGTGGCATCACTAGCCACTCCCAGAGCATATCAACAGGGTGTTCATTGCTGTGTACGGGATGTCTTGTTCACGCATGAGAATCTGATAGAATCCATCCATCAGAACCATGGAAGAAAAGATGGTACTCTTTGCCATACCATCTATGATGAAATCCTTCAACGGTATTGGCGTCTGAGCCGGTACCGTTGCAGCGTTCAATCTGTTGAACGCGTGCACTTTCCGCCACCTCCCTTGGCCTTTCGCACACAGAAGGTCGGAGAGCTGTGTGGGGATGTTGATTCCCTCATATGACCAGCAGCGAAGCGATCTGCAAAGAATTTGTCGATCGCTCTGACCTGTTCACGAGGCAGTGGCCACCGCTTCATGAATCAGTATTTCGAACCGGGTTTCAGTTCGATCTCATGTCGAGTGAGTTTGTCGTTAGGCTACTCTCATGGTACGGATTCTGGGAAAACATCCCTGAATTCGACCAAATCCTTACACAAATTTTTAGTCTTCATAGACTCCCAAGATTGAGACGAGTATCGATCAATCCGGGTCTTCTTGTAGAGGGCACCCTCGTCCTTTGATGAGTAACAGAAACCCGTTTGTCCTCAGCAAACACTTGTGTCAACCGATATTGGCGACGTGCTCGTCCTCTGTGACGAGTACGCAGATCTGCTTGATCTTGTCACTACCCACATCTCGCAAAAGCCTTTTTTAGATTCTAGCGTTGGCAACTTGACTACCTCCGAGGCTGAATTCGTAGATGTAACCAGAATAAGTGTATTTGCGCCTACACTTGATCCGTCCTTCACGAAGACATTCACTGTCTCGGTGGTTTCCTGGGAAAACACATCCGCTGGTGGTTGGGGACCCACACCCTCAACAAAACTCTCTAGGAAGCTATCACTCTCAGGAAAGCTTGAACTTTCTTCCAATATGTGTTCTGGCTGTGGGTGTACTACCACAGTCACGCCCTCTTTGATCGACTCTCTTTCTCTCGATAAGGCTTGCTCTACGATCGACTTTCTGCTAGTCGATATCGATTCGACGTGATGTTCACCCTAAACAACTCTACTCTCTCCTCTTGGATACACCCTTCTTGGTGTGCATCCATGTTTTGGTCCACTCGATCTCTTCGAGTGGTGAACCTTCGGCGCAGCCTGTGTCTCTACACAGGTGCCGGAAGCCGGTTCCACAGTGTAGTGGCTTTCTACACTGTGATCTTGCGCAATCGTACTAACGACCGTACCACAAGTGAGGCCATCGCACTCACTCGTAGTACATCCACACGCCTATGAACGATCCAAGACGTTCATCAGATAGCCATTTGATGAACAAACGGCAGGCATCTCTTTATGGATTGATGCTGCAAGCTGACCCATGGCTGGTATTTTCTAACTCATGGCAGACCAGGATTGGCATCAAATTTGTCATCCAAATCTAGTACGATGAAGTCATCATCGTACTGCTTTCCTTCTAGCGTGTAGTGAATTCCCACTACACGTTTGTTCACTGTTACTGATGCGCCTGTAGCAAGGCAAACCGTCATCCTCGTTGGAGGGAAATCTCGCTCAACATAGTTGAGCCTACTATACTCTAGCGACAGGCGTCGAATAAAACTCTTCGACGCCCCACAGTAAACTAGGGCAAGAAGTGACATTCCACTTGTCACTTCGATCTTCAAAGTGATGAGTGACACCTCATCACTAGGGAATGTAACACAAAGCGACTGTGTGTTGGGAGCAATCTTCGTCAAGAGTCCTGCAAATTCTCTTGACGTTGCTTGGTCAGCAGGGTGCTCCGCCCCTGCTGACCCTGTTCATTTTTTGACGGTCCGACTTGCTGTCGCGGCTTAGCGACATGGTCGGACCCGCGCCTTAGACCATTTCTCGGTCAATGGCGGTCATCAAGTCCTGTTATTAGACGTGATGCGGTGCTTGGTTCACTACACTCATGAGCGTAGTGTCCAATTCTTTGACAGCGATAGCGCTAAGCCTATCGCCTATGGAAAGGAGAGCGAGAGTTCTCGCTCTCGATGTAACATATGTCCATAGAATCGGGATCTCCTGTTCCCTGTCGTCTCGTCGGATGTTAGTTTGACGAGTTAGCCTGAGGCTGTCTCGGCTGAAGTCTTCTTGTTCCGCATACGCTACCGCCTAATTAAGCATAAAGAAGTCCTCTCGGAGCATGTAGGTCTTCACTGGTCCATCTACAAGATCGTAGATGACCACGTTGATGAGCGTGTGCTCATCAACAGGGTTTTCCGTGACGCTACTTGCAAGGTAGCGTAGGTGTTGTGCGTAAGCATGCACATCACGCATGCCTTGCTTGAGCCTCAGGAGTGCAGAGCGGACTCGGATCGTGGCGGCTCAAACGTCTCTTTGAGCCCAGACTTCAAGGTCGCTAACGACTCAAACACGTTTGGGTCGTGAAGCTTGAGCCCTAAGGCCCAAGTCTTTGCTCGTCCCGTCAAATTTGACAGAGCGAAGGTGACTTGCATCTCGTCACCCTCGATGTGACGGGCCCTGATGGCATCGTCTACCCCGACGCACTAATTCAAAAGAGAACCTTCATCGATTTCTAGTACCTTGATATATCAATCTTCAAAGTTTCGGGTCTACGCAAGCGCGTCGGCCCGCCCATCGACTGATGAAAGCCTTGCAGTTGTAGCAAGGCATCTTCTGTCTTTCGACAGAAAGTTTCCCTAGTAGGAACTTGTTGATAGCAGCATGTTGCTGGTCTCTGCTTACAGACTCCAACATACCACTCGTGGCGGTTCACCCATGAGCACACTCATGCGGCCGACTCCCTCTTGTTATGATTCACTCAGATAGGAGTAGCCTTCACGTGGGACGTGAAAGATGTCGTCTTCTACGTCCAACACGTTCATGTTGGACGGACACTAAGTAGTCGTCGGACGGACTACAAAGTACTACCAGGTGTAACGGGGCACCCTTTGTTTGGGGTGCCGCTAAACTTCATGTACACTAGAACGTGCAGAGAAAGTTTATCTACTTGAAAGAATCGTTCAAGTAAAGGTAAAAAGAGAACTGTAGT